ATGGCGATTTTTTTCGATCTGAAGCTTACAGTGAGTTTTTCAATGAGCTTCCTCAACAACAAAATATGCGGAATTCGCAACATTTTGAGAAACTTTATTTTTTGGAAAAATCGACTACCATTAGGAAAATTTCGGTTAAAATTCAAAATTTCCCCTGCTAGTTTTTTTAAGCTCAATGGATTGTTTGCCGCCTTAGAAACGCCCCGATGTGCATATTCAAGATGCTCAAATCTGTAATAAGGAAAATATCGCCAGTTAAACAGCGTGACAGCGCGAAACTGACTTAAAATGAACCAAAAATATCGATTTTTGCCGATCTGAAGCTTACAGCGGGTTTTTCAATGAGCTTCCTCAACAACAAAATATGTGGAATTCGCAACATTTTGAGAAACTTAATTTTTTGAAAAAATCGACTACCTTAGGAAAATTTCGATTAAAAGTCAAAATTTCCCTTGCTATTTTTTTTCAAGCTCAATGGATTGTTTGCGGCCTTAGAAGCGCCCCGATGGGCATATTCAAGATGCTCAAATCTGTAATAATAATAATCTGTTTTTGAATGAGCTTCCTCAACAACAAAATATGTGGAATTCGCAACATTTTGAGAAACTTAATTTTTTGAAAAAATCGACTACCCTTAGAAAAATTTCGATTAAAAGTCAAAATGTCCATGCGATTTTTTTTCAAGCTCAATGGATTGTTGCTGCCTTAGAAGCGCCCGGATGGGCATATTCAAGATGCTCAAATCTGTAATAAGGAAAATATCGTCGGTTAAACATCGTGACCGCGCAAAATTGGCTTAAAATGCACCAAAAATATCGATTTTTGTCGATCTGAAGCTTACAGTGGGGTTTTCAATGAGCTTCCTCAACAACGAAATATGCGGAATTCGCAACATTTTGATTTTTTGAAAAATTTTTTGAAAAAATCGCCTACCATTAGGAAAGTTTCGGTTAAAATTCTAAATTTCCCCTATGATTTTTTTTAAGCTCAATGGATCGTTTGCGGCCTTAGAAGCGCCCCGATGGGCATATTCAAGATGCTCAAATCTGTAATAAGGAAAATATAGTCGGTTAAACATCGCGACCGCGCAAAACTGGCTTAAAATGCACCAAAAATATCGATTTTTGTGGATCTGAAGCTTACAGTGGGTTTTTCAATGAGCTTCCTCAACAACAAAATATGTGAAATTCGCAACATTTTGAGAAACTTAATTTTTTGAAAAAATCGACTACCATTAGGAAAGTTTTGGTTAAAATTCCAAATTTCCCCTGCGATTTTTGTTAAGCTCAATGGATCGTTTGCGGCCTTAGAAGCGCCCCGATGTTCATATTCAAGATGCTCAAATCTGTAATAAGGAAAATATTGCCACTTAAACATCGAGACCGCGCAAAACTGGCTTAAAATGCACCAAAAATATCGATTTTTGTCCATCTGAAGCTTACAGTGGGTTTTTCAATGAGCTTCCTCAACAACGAAATATGCGGAATTCGCAACTTTTTGAGAAACTTAATGCTTKGAAAAAATCGACTACCCTTAGAAAAATTTCGATTAAAAGTCAACATTTTCCTGCGATTTTTTTTTAAGCTCAATGGATTCTTTGCGGCCTTAGAAGCGCCCCGATGGGCATATTCAAGATGCTCAAATCTGTAATAAGGAAAATATCGCCAGTTAAACATCGTGACCGCGCAAAACTGGCTTAAAATGCACCAAAAATATCGATTTTTGTCGATCTGAAGCTTACAGTGGGTTTTTCAATGAGCTTCCTCAACAACAAAATATGTGGAATTCGCGACATTTTGAGAAACTTAATTTTTTGAAAACATCGAACCCTTAGAAAAATTTTGGTTAAAATGCAAAATTTCCCATGCGAACTTTTTAAGCTCACTGGATTGTTTGCGGCCTCAGAAGTGCCCCGATGGGCATATTCAAGATGCTCAAATCTGTAATAAGGAAAATATCGCCAGTTAAACATCGTGACCGCGCAAAACTGGCTTTAAATGAATCAAAAATGGAGATTTTTTCGATCTGAAGTTTACAGTGGGTTTTTCAATGAGCTTCCTCAACAACAAAATATGCGGAATTCGCAACATTTTGAAAAACTTAATTTTTTGAAAAAATCGACTACCTTTAGAAAAATTTCGATTAAAAGTCAAAATTTTTCTGCTATTTTTTTTAAGCTCAATGGATTGTTTGCGGCCTTAGAAGCGCCCCAATGGGCATATTCAAGATGCTCAAATCTGTAATAAGGAAAATATCGCCAATTAAACAACGTGATCGCGCAAAACTGGCTTAAAATGAACCAAAAATGGCGATTTTTTTCGGTCTGAAGCTTACAGTGAGTTTTTCAATGAGCTTCCTCAACAACAAAATATGCGGAATTTGCGACATTTTGAGAAACTTAATTTTTTGGCAAAATCGACTACCATTGGGAAAGTTTCGTTTAAAATTCAAAATTTCGCCCTACGATTTTTTTTAAGCTCAATGGATTGTTTGCGGCCTTAGAAGCGCCCCGATGTGCATATTCAAGATGCTCAAATCTGTAATAAGGAAAATATAGTCGGTTAAACATCGCGACCGCGCAAAACTGGCTTAAAATGCACCAAAAATATCG